GGTGGGATTACAATTCCAGCACTTGGCAGGCTGAATCAGGAGGGTTGCCACAAGTTTGAGGGCACCCTGAACTACATAGTGAGACCCTGTCTCAAAAAACAAAACAAAAGAAATAAAAATCTTTAACAAAGATCTGGGTTTGTAGACATAGATAGTTGTTATGCATTTAATACATAATTATCTGTAACATAACTATCTCCTTTTGGCTGGTTAGCAGATACGATCACTCTTAAACTCTCGCCCCCAACCCTTCTCTCTACACATGTTTACATAGGTGTGTGTTTCTTTCTAAGTCACAATAGCCCTTAAACTTATTTTGGGGGGCTTTTTTTTGGCACTGGGGATCGAACTTGGGACCTTTCGTTTGTGAGGCAGACAGCAGAACCACTGGGCTAAATCCCCAGCCCCAAGAGCCCTTAAACTTGGTGGAAAAAACATTCAACTTCATAAAAGAAATGCCCACTAAATCTACCTTGAGACTATCACTTTACATATTGAACAAAATCCAAAAGTTTGATTTATTTTGTTGGCAAGACTGTAGAGAAACAGGCATTCTTTTACATTGTTGGTGGAATTATAAAAGGTATAAACTCTTGTGAAGGACAATTTGGCCATATCTATCAATATTTTACATGCATATAGCCTTGACCTACCAACTCTGTGGAATTTATCCTTGCTTATGCACTTGTAAAGGAACAAATTTGCAGGCTATTTATGGAGGCATATTTAGTAATAGCAAAAAAAAAAAAAAAAGCTAAAAACTCATTGCCTACCCATACAGAATTGGTTAAATAAACTATTTAAATGCTATTTGGCTACAAATACATTTTTTAAAGGATGAGGTGGTTTTCCTGTAAAAGACATTACTCTGGGCCAGGGATTTAGCTCAGCAGTTCGGTGGCCTACCTCGCAAGCACAAGGAACTGAGTTCGATTCCTGGTACCAAAATAAAATAAAATAAAATAAAAGACATTACTCTGAGATATATTGAATGAAAAAAAGTGTGCCCTATAGCTTGACAGGGTGGAGCACATCCACACTCCCAGCTCTCTGGGAGGCTGAGGAAGGTGGATCTCAAGTTTGAGCCCAGTCTGGGCAACTTAGCAATTTAATAAGACCCTGTCTCAAAATAAAAAAAGTACTGTAGATTTAGCTCAATGCAAAGACACTAAGCTCAATCCCCAGTACTGGGGGGAGGTACACTATATGCCCCTATGTACACAGGAAACCAAAACTAGGGCTTAATTCTGGGGGTACTGAAGACAGCTGAGAAGAGACCTGAGGAAAGGAGTAGAAATGAAATAGGCGATTGGGGTGTGGCAAAGCTGGCTGGGGAAGTATACCTATTAACTACAAGAGCCCAGAACACATGGGGAGAACAGCCCCCAAGGCCCAGCACCTGGACTTCTCTCCAGAACTCCAGCTGGTTTCCAGTAAGTCAGCCAGACCTGACGTCAGTCTGAGGCGTGAGATCCCACCACCACCTCTCAGAGGAACCGTATGTGAAAGTTCTGGTGTGTTTCCTCGAGATTTGGACAACACATAAGGACACAGACCCACAAGAGCCACTATGGTGACTTTCTTCATGGTAGCTCACTGTGCTTTATCCAGGGTGTCCTTTTATTGCTTTTTCTCCTTTCGCTCTGCCCAAGCTTGCTTTGCAGAGCCAGTTTCTTCCTCACTATTCATTTTTACTTTCTTGAATAAATTTGGCCACTGCTTTTTGATCATTTTGTTCAAGACAAGAACCTGGAACCTAACTCCAGAGGAAGTGACAAACAACCCAGAACCTGGTAACTGTAGGTGGTGGGCCACTTTCAGGAGCTACCTGTTAGCAGGAGGAGATGTCTTACTATAAGCCCGTTAATGTTTTTTAAGGTTTTGAATCAAGTTTCCATATTGCCAATTCACAATTTTAATCAGATTGTTTTTCACTTAAAAATAGGTATGAAATACCTCTATGAATGTAAAATATCTTGTACCTGCTTTAGGATACATAGTAGGGACCATGCTTTATCAGAGCTACATTTAATGATATTACTCTAGAATGTTCTCTTTCCAGATGATGATTAAAATGCTAATAAAAAAAAATGGTCCCAGGTACCACAACACCGC